GCTGGCCACGCTGACTGGCCGCCCCTGAGCTCTGTGGCCAGGCTCTGTGGGTCTTGTCTTCTCTTGTCCTGCTCTTCTCTTGTCTTCTCTTGTGGCCGAACAATTAGCAATGTCGATGCCGACAAAAGTCATTGACAAAGCAATTTGCTCTTGGGGGAAGGTAGGGCGTACCAAGAAATCGTTTTTGACTAGTATTGGTCCAAACGAATCGTTTTGAAGCTGCTTGGGGTCTATGCTGGTATAACTCTTGTGGGTGCATGCTGTGTGTGCACATCAGGCTCCGACAGATCCCAATGGATCTTGAAAGAACTACGACCGCTGCGGTCTGCGCTGGCCGTGCCAAAATAATGGCCGTCCGCTGCGGACTCCTTGTGGCTTGCCAAAACAGCTGCCTACTCAAGGTTGATCAGAGCCGTCAAGCCTTAATCAACGTTTGGCATAAGCCTCCTACGCTCGCTGCGAGCTGCTCTGGTCCCGCGGGCGCAGGGACATAGACAAACCCCCGTTCGACAGGGCCACGGAGGGCACTCTTCAGGCTCACTCCGGGCTGGCATGAAGCCGGACACACCACCTGCCAGTCTAGTGCTGAGCGGTCAGGCCATAAGGACTTGAAAGACGACGAAATCGGCAGGGTCGAGCGGCGAGTGTATGTCTGTCGACCTGAAAGTCTCACCTAACAGCCAGGAATCTTAGAGAAGGATGTAGTTACCAAACGCCACAACCATCTGCAGGTACACGGAGGTGATTAATCTCCGCTTCACCCATCGTGGAATAGCTTCGTTGACACATGTATCCACGATGGGCGTGTCCCCCTGCAAAAGTTAAAGACCAACAGGTCCCCTATGATTCCAAGGGTATTTCACACTCACCGGGCCCTAACCCTTTCCCAGATTAGTTGGATTCCGCATTGACGCAGTCAAATCATGTCAAATCTAATTTGTAGTTTAAGTGTCTTTGATATACTCCAAGCAATTGCGGGATTGCAATAATTCAATGCATAGTTCACACATGTTTGGCGTGTTCTTTGCTGTTTTGTGTTCGTTATCCTGTTCTCCCTGTAGTACACTCACGCTATTTCTGTGGCCCTAGGCCAAGGGATAGGTCGGATAGATTCAGGTGCCGTTGGAGCGTCAAGCGAGTATTCCCAGAAACTTTGCGCGGGTAGAAGAGAGATGCAGGCGGTGTTTTCGTCCCTTGCAAAAACAACCATAGTGGGTTGTTCCCTGAATGGCATAGAAGTCCAGTGTTGATCAGCTGATCTCCCTCTGCCAGATCTGCTAGCTTCTTTGGCATTTGATTTCAACAAGACAGGTTCTTTCCGAGATTCCCCAGAGAATCAAGTCTGAAACACACATCAACCAACAAATCACCCCGCACCCATCTGCCAAGCTTCTGCACCGCAGCTTTACTGCGGCTCATCGTCAGCGATGGTCGCCTCGGCTTGCGCTGTCAGCATGGCAGGCTTCGCAGAGTTCATGTTTCTTTACTACCTCTGCGTCGTGGCCAAGAGATATTCTCCACAAATCAGCATGAACTGACCAGTGCTTCCAACGACCCACGAGCGACCACAGGGGGTCCAAGGTCTGTCTGCCCCAAATATGGAGATCTCACCGTGCTGAAGACAATGGTGCATCACCATAGAATACCAGTCAAAAACGAATGCAAAAACGGACAAAAGGATCTGTTCTAATGATCTACCAAAATACTTGTGAAAAAGCATCACCGGTCCCGAACAAAGAACAACCTCTCTTTTTGGGATCCTTCGGCCATGCGAAGAACCAAAGGCGCCGCTTTCGGAAATGCTCCTCGAAGTCCAACAACGTCACACGGCCTGAGGCCACCGGGCAGGGCCGGGACGTGCGGTGACGAAGTACACAGAGACATGACTTGGGGGATAGAGAACGGTATAACCAAGCCCACTAATATACCAGGTTGCAGTGGATGATGATGGTTAGGTTGCAGGCCGACATCTCAAAAACCTTTTGACCGACTGTTGCTGGTTGACTGGGACACGGAGAATCCGACAGAACAAAAGCAAAGCTCTGAACATCTCTGAACCACGGTCCGGTGACCCTTCTTGTGCTGGCCAGGAGACGCTTGCCATGCGAGATGGTATCAAACAAGTCCTGCAACTTATGTCAGAACTGCGGTGCGACTCTCGGGTAACTCTCTCCAACAATCTCTTGTCATTTGCCAACCGTATCTAACAGTGATGGGTTTTTCTGTCACCACGCGATTGTTGGAGGTCTAACCGCGCGTCGACAGTCTCCGGCAGTCTCCGGCAGGTCCTGCGTGGCGGTAAAGATCTCCTCCGGCTCTTGACAGTTCACTCCTTGACCACTGGCCGAGCGTGACCAATTCGTGTCATGCTGTCCGAAAGGCGTCATGCCCTCACCCCACCTAACCAGGCAGTCTTTCATCTTCCGACGCAGTCTGTGATGCCGTAGTGGCAGTGTTCTTCTGCTGATATCGGGCAATTACACAGAGGCAGTCTCTATCAGTCTCTCACTTTCGCCTTTTGGAACGCGTTTCACTACGCGCCTGGCAGGAGTCTGACAGCAACCAGAGGCGAGGCTTCCACCGCATTGAGCAGCGCCAAGCGCGAGATCTCCCCACAGCCATCTGACGACGCTGTGGGCTGGTGGGATGCTGGTGGGTCTCGGACTCGCCCGAAAAGCCTGTGGAAGACATGGGAACTTCCAGACTTTCTCAGAAGCCTATGTAGGTCAATGGAGGTCCTACGAACGCTCCCAAAAGCACCTGTGAGCGTTCATGCCGCATGGGGGGTTCATACTGCTTTCAGGACTTCTTGCAGGCGAAAACGGATTCCGCAGTAGGCTCAACGGTCAACGGTTGGTGCAAATCGACTCACAGTTTGGGATCCCGCTTGACCCGGGAAGACCCTTGACCCGGGCCCCTGGCCTACATCAATGATCTTGAAAATGTCATGCAAATCACTTGCCAACTTCTCCTGTCGGCAAGGAACATAGAACTGCACATTGTCTGATCTGATGTGGCACAGTCTCCAAGAACTAATATGGACTTGTGACATCTTGTGACTGGACTTCTGACTTGGGCCGTTCGATCTCCAAACAAATCAGCGACTCATGCGATCTCATCTGTCTAAAAACTCATGCGATCCCTGATCCCAACTCACGGAGGCGCTTCAGCCTCTACGTGCCGCAGGACTCAGACACTTGCTTTTTAGAGACCCCAGTGCTTCCATCTGATGATCTGCATGTTTTGCAGAGACTGTTTTCATCTCATGGCCAGCGCGGCTCCTTGGGTACTTGCGCAGCCTGCCAGTACATCGCGAGATCTGTGTAGGTAATTCCTCAGGCTACAAAAAGGAAGTCCACGCAAAGGCCGTTGAAAAGGGTGGTACCCCAGCTTGACCAACCACACTGGGGTACAAAGAACTGCAAGAAGAACGCAGTAAAATACACGCCTTTATGTCCCTTATGTCTCCTTGTACCTTCAACCACTGACTTCTGCGTCCACCTGGCAAAAGGCAGGAGAAGTTCATACTGCAAAAGCCTGCGAGGTTCTCCTTGGGCAAACCTACGACGTACGAAGGATGTGGCTCTGGCACAATTCTGACTGCCCATTATCTTCCGTAATGGTTTCTTCTACATGTTTTGCAGACCCAACAAAGCAGTCCAATCAGAGAGTTTGGTCCATTGAGCGCAACAATTCATTCACAATACAGTGCCAGCCGAAGGTGCTTCCTTTGCTACCAGCCATATGACGAAAGATACGCTCCACCTCATCAAACCTGAGAACAGCGGCCAAGACATTGAACACCACATCACACCCACATCAAAATCATCCTCGTGCAATCTTCTTATAGTCTGGAACATTGGAATATCTTCAAATCCGAGTTGCGTGTCTGCGCACTTCATAGCCATCTGTGCATCTCGCCCAGGCAGCAGAGTCTTGGCCACTAGTTCGTTTTTCTGCACCTGCCAGTAGGAATTGTTGTGTTTATTTCTGCAATCATTTAAGCCGTTTCTGCAGCACAAAAAGTCTACGTAAGACAATATGGATGTGGGTCAAAACCTGGAAGAACCGCTCGTGTCTTTCCGTTGTGTTCGTCCACCACACCACGACTGCTGACGCGTCGGACCTGGAGCCCCAGAGCAGGTTGACCATGTCCAGTAGTCAATGCTGTTCATGTGTTCGGTGGGACGAAACCAAGGTCCCACGGTATGCCGAGGGACCTTATGGCTACCGAATATAGGTTGAATGTGTTTCTCAAATCGGGCTGAGGTACTGCTTTGAAGAAGTCCCAGCGAGAGATGAAGCCGTCCTTGTCCTTGGATACACTCTGGTCACCCAGCTGGTCCTCTGCAGAGATCAATTGCCCTCCAAACAAATACTGTATATCCTGATCATCACCTTCCCGTTCGATGATTTGGGGCTACAACGCTACAACGTGCTACGTTCCATCGCAGTGATTCGATATGATTCGTCAGACAAATCCAAAGAGTTCTATGATTTCTTGGTAAATTCTCCGAGCGACCCTCCTGTGAGAGTCAAGAGAAGTCGTCATGCTCGGACCCATTTCAGTCGCACAGTCCATCTCTCTGAACCCACAAGGCCAGCTCGCCTGGCTGTGCAGCATGGCGTGCTTGTCTCAAGGCCAAGCATCCGAGTCCATCCCTTGGCAAAGCTCTCGCATCTCCTCGTCCAGGCTTTCCAACTCTTTCTCGAGCCGCTCTTTCTGTGTCATGGGACGCGGCTCCCTGCGCTTCGCACACGCAGCCGGGAAGCCCGGCAGAGGAGCAGAGTATATATCCAGTTACACTAGCTCGTGGTGGACACGCAAACAAGATAAACAAGTGGGCATAAGAATGAAGTGATGTGCTGAACACCCTCACACGGCTCTGGGTCAAGACCCAGGGCACCCTGGTTGAACGAAAATGAACAGATTCCTCCTTGAATTCTTTTCAAAGGAGCCCAACGCATTCGCTCCTGCTGGGAGCGCGATCCAGCGAGCTGTTTTGAGTGCTCACCTCAACGAGGCGAGAGGAGCTTTGTCAAGTCTGTGCATTTAAACCGAGGAGCGCTTCACAAACAGCCGGGACATGTGAAATGCACCGTTGTTTCAGCTGCATAAACAAAAATATTGAATCTGCAGCATTCCAGGTTAAATTCTAGACAAACAAGAATCTGAAGGTCAATTTCCCAGAATTTCTATGTGGTTTCGTTAACTCTTGGGTGTGCAGCATCCAGCTTTTTGGATACAGGAAAGAGCAAATAGACACAATTCTTTGAATACATTCAGTGGCATCTTCATCCGGGGGCTTTCACCCATTGAGTTTCGCACATTTCGCACAACCCTTTTTTCGTAGCCCAGAAACTGTGCTGGTTGTGCTGGATGTGGACAAATTTCGCACGGCAGCACGCACCTTCACTGGTGCCTCAGGGGCGGCATAAATGAAAGTGCAGGATTTATATACACAAAAATCAAAAGTACGATTAAAAATGGTACTGTAAGCTGATCAAAGGGGAGCCTGTTTAGCCTTCAATATCTTCCCTGCAAAAATAGGTACAAACCCCCTGTTCTGCAATCCTGTCAATTCCACCTCTTTCAACATCCGTACTTTCTTCACGTTCATCGTCTAGGCACCGTAAAGGACTGACGTGCCGGTGGTGCCCTGTACGGCCGTTGTGGCGAGGGCCAGGCCACTGGAGCCGCCGCCGAGCCGCCGAACGGCGAGCCGAAAGAGTATCGCGTCGGCGTCGGTGTCTGAAAGCCTTGGACCTCAGGGGCGTCGCGAGGTCCAGAAGGTCATCGGAACAGTCCGTCAACGCACCGATTTTTAGGGGAACCCCTTCAACCATGGGATACTTTGTGATGTGAGGCAAGCCTCGCTAGGACTTGATTCACCAAGTGAGGTCCCACCCCTGTCATTGCCCGCGATATACACAACCCCCCCAAACATCCTCACCTACCAAGTTTGCAAACATCTAGGTGCTGACCAGCATGCATGCACCCATATTACCAGAGGCCAGGGGTCCAACATCTCCGGTACGTACTGGGTCAAAAAGATGCCATAGGGTGCAGCCAAAGGGAACAAATTGTTTTTACAGAACATGTTTCTGTGCTGATCTCCATTGAAAATTTTTTGTTCAAGTATGTGACATATATATATATACAGTTAAATTAATTGAAGGAGAGCTTGGAACTTCTTTATCTATTCTTGACAGCTAAAGGAATCATAGATATAAGAAGCACAGAAGGAAGAAAAGAAAAAAATATGCCCAAGGAAAGTCTCCAACAGCTAGAAACATGTGGAGTGCTTTTGAGAAATTATGTCACAAACCATCATCAAGCGTCATGCTGATGCATAGCCTGCCGTTGCGAGGCGGAAACGGGCTGCGTGTAAATTGCGACGGAAACCGGTGTTTTTTTGCGACGGTAGGCCGAAATGTTTTTCAAAAGTGATCGTGGAGTTCGTTGCGCGATCAAAAGTTCAAGGAGTGTTTTTTGCGACGACGTGTTTTTTGCAACGATTATCTTTTTGCCACGGTGTTATTGTTTTGGTTGGACAAGCCACCAAGGAGTGGGAAACACGGAGTGTTTGGTGCGACGGTGTGTTTTTTGCGACGGTGTGTTTTTTGCGACGGTGTGCTTTTTGCGAAGGTGTGTGTTTCAGCGACGCGGTGTTTGTTGCAAATATATGGTCGTGTATTTTGCTACGGGTACGGGTGTTGTTAGCTTCGGTGGCAGGGTGTTTTTTGCGACACTGTGTTTTTTGCGCAGGTCAGTGGGTGTTTTTTGCGTCGATCAAAAGTGTTTCTTGCACAGTGAAAGTGTGTTTTTGCGTCGCAGAGGGTTTTTTGCGACAGAGAGCAGGGTTTATAGCAACATCGGCTTGGACTCATTGCGCGACTGTGGTGGATAAGAATGGCAAGGTGTTTTTTGCGCCGGTCCTAGCTTCAAGGTGTTTGTTGCACCGATCCTAGCTTCAAGGTGTTTTTTGCGCCGGTCCTAGCTCCAGGGCGTTTTTTGCGACAGTGTGTTTTTTGCACCTCCAAAGTGTTTTTTGCGCCCATCCTAGCTTTAGGTGTTTTTTGCGCCGGTCCTAGCTCCAAGGTGTTTTTTGCGCCGGTCCTAGCTTTAGGTGATTTTTGCACCGGTCCTACCTCCAAGGTGTTTTTTGCGCCGGTCCTAGCTGCAAGGTGTTTTTTGCGCCGGTCCTAGCTTCAAGGTGTTTTTTGCACCGATCCTAGCTGCAAGGTGTCTTTTGCGCCGATCCTAGCTGCAAGGTGTCTTTGAGCCTTTCCTTTGGGACCGCCACTTTTAAGGTTGCAACCAACCTCTCCAATGTTTCATGTCAACTGTCAGCTGGCGTATGTGCCCCTCTCCCGCTTTTGAAGCTAGGATCGGTGCAAAAAACACCTTGAAGCTAGGGCCGGCGCAAAAAACACCCAGAGCCAAAACTGAGCGGCGCGCAGAGGTTACACCCCGCCTGTCCAATGTTTCATGTCAGCTGGCGGAGCTCGCTTCGCTCCGCGTGGGTGGACACGAAGACAAAAAGGTTTGACAAAGGCTCGTGTCAAAACTGAGCGGAGCGCAGCGCAGCAGAAAGGTGGCTTTGAGACGGAATAACCACGGTGCAAACTTTCGGTCGCAGACGTGCGCTCCTAGGTTTTGCTGGAGAGCTCCGCTCTGCGGCGGGGGAGGCGCTGCGCCCACGCCCGCACCCCCTCCCGCTGCTTTAAAGGCTCACCCCCTGCATGCGCTGCCGCTCGCTTCACGCACAAAGCCTTGTCGTCGCTTTGCTTTGCTGGGGCTTTCAAGGTTGCAACCAACCTCTCCAATGTTCCATGCCAACTGTCAGCTGGCGTATGTGCCCCTCTCCCGCTTTTTAAAGGCCCACCCCCTGCATGCGCCATTGGCTTTTGGTTGCGCGCAAAGGCCTGCGTCGACTCTCTGCGCAGAGCAAAAAAATATAAGACCGGCGGAAAAAGGACCTCGAAAAGAAGACCGGCGTTCAAAAAAAAGAGCTCAAAACTATAGGACCGGTGCAAAAAGGACCTCGAAAATATGACCGTCGCAAAAACACCTCGAAACTATAATAGGACCGGCGCAAAAAAACACATTGAAGCTAGGACCGGCGCAAAAAGCACCTTGAAGCTAGGACGGGCGCAAAAAACACCGTGGAGCTATAGGACCGCAAAACACACCTTGAAGCTAGGACCGGCACAAAAAACACCTAAAGCTAGGACGGGCGCATAGGACCGGCGCAAAAAACACCTTGAAGCTAGGATCGGTGCAAAAAACACCTTGAAGCTAGGACCGGCACAAAAAACACCTAAAGCTAGGACGGGCGCAAAAAAACACTTTGGAGGTGCAAAAAACACACTGTCGCAAAAATTGCCCTGGAGCTCGGACCGGCGCAAAAAACACCTTGAAGCTAGGATGGGTGCAAAAAGCACCTTGAAGCTAGGACCGGCGCAAAAAACATCTTGAAGCTAGGACCGGCGCAAAAAACATCTTGAAGCTAGGACCGGCGCAAAAAACACACTGTCGCAAAAAACACTAGACAAGTAGGAATAACACTACTGTTTGGAGTTACACTGGTTTCCGTCGCAATTAACACACGTCCCCGGGCTCACGTCCAAAGACTTCCAAGAAGCCCACCAACATCACCGCACTCATTGCTGCAATGCTGCGGAACCTGCTCCGGAACCTGGTCCGGAACCTGCTCCCGAACCGGCTCCGGAACCTGCTCCGGAACCTCCGCCGGAACCCTCTGGAACCTGCTCCGGAACTAGATAGCTTAACATAAATACTGGAAAAACAGCCGATGAAGCTTCCATGCATGGGCCCTACGGTCACACGGTCGCTGGTAAGACGAGGGGGAACAGAAGAAGATGGAAGAATGTTCATTTCACACCGTCCTGCTTTTGCTTCGCTGTCCGCTTTGCTTTCACTTGTCTGGGCTTGAGCGAGTGAGCGATATAGTAGTGGTAGCGTTGATGCTGTCGTGGGTGTTGCCTACAGGCAAGGTCACCATGTAGCCTATCCAGCACCAGTTGATGAGTTTGGGCGCGTGACTTGACCAAACGCCTCCCGGCACTGTGTCTGGTTTCGACGAGAGTTATCAGTGTTGCCTGCAAAATGCACTCGTCGCACATGAAGCTGTCAACTGGTGGATACGCTTCAAAAAATGCCGCGGCGAACTCATCCAGGAGACATTGAACATCATGAGCCGCTTGGTGGATCTCTTGCGCTGATTCTCTTGTTGAGGCAAAAGCCTTGCGGGAAAGCCTCTGTGACCCATCTCAGCGTGGTGCATTGCTGTGCCACTTCTGGAAAGAAGCTTGAATGCCAATGCGTTCATTGACCTTGTCATACTCTGGTCCTCAATCGCAGGTGCCTCGAAGTGTAGCCGTGTAGGCTATTATGGAATTGACATACCCCATTGCAATCTCGTCCAGCCCAGGGGCCAGTCCAAACCAAGAAAACCAACAACACACAAAGGTCGCGTGCTTGGGCGATGTTGGATTCATTTTTGCGCAACGCAAGTAATAAACATCGTAAATTACATGTATTTTGGCAATTTTAAATGAAAATGTGATTCCTACCAACATGCTCATGCGTAAATACCAGTGGTTTGGGCAGCAAACATGTAAGAAACATGGTTTTTAAAAAACGCGTCTGCTTGCTCCCAATGCAAAAGGAAACATCGACATGTACCGTGTGTTTGGTCCCTGGTAAATACCGTGTTTGTTGGAATGCTTCAAAAATGGTGTTCTTGGCACGCAACACGACAACAGCAACGACCAACAACAACAACAACAACCTTATGGCATCGCTGGCATGCGAAGCCAGCTCTACAATCTACTGTATAACTATTTATACATGCTTTCGTCGACCGAGTTTGTAATTCTAGTGACAGGCGTTGACCCTTTCAGGTCTGCGAAAGAAAGAAAGAAAGAAAGAAAAATGTCGTTATGTATATAATTTAGATATGTTATGATATGTTAATATCTACAGGATTACCTACCTCAACAGTGCTACAGCGCCTGCTGGTGGCTCCATCACCATCACGTCTCCGTTCCTTCGCGTTGCCGAGGCGCGCCCGGGCTCCGCGGAGTCATGGCGCTCTTCGGAGTCATCACGCTGCGTGGACTCGCCAAGCCACTCAGCGCCAGGTGAGAGGGCACCTGACCACACGGACTCCGCTCGTGCCGGAAGAAACATCCACCCGCAGTGGGGTAGCTAGGAGCGATGCGAAGAGTAGCTAGTAGCGATGCGTGTTTTTTGGGGGACACGTCATGTAGGCGGTTGATTCATTCAACCCCTCCTGCTCCAGAATGGCTTTACATCTCCAGTCCTGAGGGGGAATGCCATTCATCAACAAGGAACACCTAGTCAGTGTGGAATCTTGATTAACAACCCCCCTCCACATGGCCAGTTCACACCTAACTTCGTGTGCTTCGGATGTTCCACAGATTTCCTTTGAAGCGCCTGGCGCAGGTGATGCAGCGGTGGAGGAGAGAGGGAGACCCCGGAGAAGTTGCGAGGCGGAGCCATGGCACGTGCGTTGCGCGTTCTGAAGACCCGTGGTCTCTTTCGTGCGCGGGGGGCTCGCGTGGCTCACATGGAAGCTGACAAGTCTGGAAGTTGGCAACTGCTACGGGTGCCAATGGTGCGAGGGTCAAGAAACTCAAGAAGCTGTGAAAGTTGTGTAAACGACTTGCTGACAGAGACCGACCCATATCGAAGTCTGAGCTGCAAAGGAGCTGCCAAGGCAGAACTCATCCAAACCCTATGTTCAAAGCACCAGGCTCAGTTCTTTGAAGTCAGCCACTTCTGGATCACTTCTGAAGTCAGCTCACAAAAAAAAAGCTTCAGCTGGATCAGTCGGTTCAGTAATTATGTCGTTCCTTTTTGACGCTATACGTATCGGGCGTCGTCCGTCTTCGGCGCCGCACTTCAGGCGCCAACGACGTTCACCCCCCGGGTCCTTCCTGTTCGGCCAAGCCAGCGACCGAAGCGAACACAGCGGTGTGAACGCAAACGGAGTTGCAGCGGTGTGAAAGCTCATTTGGGGATAGATCCCCGTGTTTGGCAACAAGTCTGCCAAGTCCACACGAGACCTTGAGACCTGAAACTCTCCAGTCCTTCAGCCTTTTCGCTTCTTAGGCTTGGATTCCTGCGCGATCGAGTCAATACAAATCATTTTCACTGGTCTAAATAGATTACAGTAAGCTGTAGTTCGCATCTTGATACTCCTCCAAAGTTCCTTGTTCAAAGTTGATAGGAATCCCCGCTTGCAAGATCCACATCATTTCCGGACCAAAGAACTCATGCACTCTGCCTCCCTCAGCCAGCCGCAGCCGGGTCCTTCTCAGCCGGCGCCTTTTCTGCCGGCCGCTTTTTGGCGGGCTCTGGGGCAGCCTGCGATCCAGAAAGATTTGCGTGTGCATTCTTTCCAAAATCTTCTCAAATTCATAGACATAGCAGGGAAAAGTTTCAGAAGATGCTCATTGAAGATCGCGAATCTGAAAAGCTGGCTTCCAAAGACATGCTTCTTTGATCTTATTGTTTGGCTATTTTAAAGAGGCCAATGATTCCAAAAACACTCGTTTGCCAACCTCCGGCGGGCTTGCCGCGACCACTTCGGGACTTGGCTCAGCATCTGATGGCTTTGGTGCTGGACCAGCAACCTCCGCACTGAGACGAGAAGACCCTTTCCACGCGAAATCACAACGAATACCAGACATTCCTCCAAAGGCTTCGATGTTCCACACTCTACACCTGTGACAGTAGTTAGTTAGATATGATATAGTTATATAGTTACATATATATACAGTATATGTATGATTATGGTATGTATGTATAGTAGCTGCTTATTTGTCCATCCAACAATCCATGAGAAGCTCCGAGTTCGTCGCGCTTCCTCTGACCCGTCGAAGGAACCCATGGCAAATCGCCGCCGAACGCTCGCTTTTCGCTCCGGGCATGGCCTGGTCATCCACATCGACGAAGTTCTTGGGCCTCTCTGGCACCGTGGAGACCTCGAAAGACACATGGAGTCGGCATGTTTCTCGTGCACGAGACATCACGAGACCGAAGTACGTGGTGAGGTATCTAATGGTTTTTGGAGTCACAGCATGAGGTTCTCCGAATCCAATGGATCAGGGTGGACCTACTTTCTCCTGAAGCAGGAGCTTCGAGGTCCCCCCAAACTTCATGTCAAAAAAGATAGACAAGCGGGTCTTGGAGGTTCTTCCTACCCGCTGTAAACCCGCGCCTCAATCTCTCGGGCCCTCTGTTATACCGGCGCCAACCAAACAGAGACAGCAGGGCAAGAGACGGTCGGACCCACGGTCCGGTCGGACCCGGAGCCTCCGTCTTCTTCCAGAGGGGCCTCAGGGTGCCATCGCCAAACTTCCTCACCTCCATGAACCTTGGCGCCAGACCACACGCAAGCGCGCGCAAAAAAAGATGTTTCGGCGCGACGGGCGCCACATCGCGCATAGACCGAGAAACCATGGGCCCGGGGTGGTCCTGGTCAAACCGGGGGGGATGAGAAGCTAAGTATACTCAAGTCAGTGTATAGCAACGAGGGATGACGTTTGGTGTGTATATATATATATATACAGTAAATGCTCTTAGCAATTACACGGATTCGTGTGTGATCTGCAAAAAGATTCTGCTTTCGGGAATCCCACAAGAGTCTTCATTCAGAGTAGCAGTCCCGATCGTGCACAAACCAGCACCATAGTCTTAGAACATGTTGGAACCAGTCTCAGGTAATGAACGTGCTTACAAATCATGATCACCATTAGCATGGAACAATATGGTGATTAACATGCAGAGACACCATGCCACCATACAAGGGTTGTAGTTCACTCCCAATTTCCAGCACACCCCCTGCATTGCAGCCTGGCATTTGCTGCAACCCAATCGGCGGTACGCGTTTCCATACTTTTCGATTGGAGTCGAAGCGGATGACAACCATCTGCTGTCTCTCCTGACAAACAAGAAGACGACTCAGCAATCTCACCGTGCTGCGCAGTTACCAGACAATCCATGAGTGAACGGTCTCCAAAACACGGCTGCCCCGGCAGAGACGGGTTTCCCAGTCTCGCTCGGCTCCTCGATCTTTTCAACTGTGACAGTGTGGGCTTGCCCATTACCTCAGGCAAGGTTGGCCAACTGAGAGCTTTAAGTGTCAAGGTCAGCTTCACTTGCAGCTCAGCAGCTTTTGGATATGTACACTAGACCTGAAGCTGACTCCAATTCAAGCACGTAAAAGCTCTGGCAGCGGGCGTGCTCGCTAAGTTTCAACCAATGCAGATAAGGAACTTGTCCCTTTCTCACACCAGTCTGGCAAAACAATTGGAATCGCACTCCTCAGCAGGCGCTCCACGCACTCTTCACGTCTGTGAGACATGGTTTCCCCATGTTTCCCCTAGCAATAGCTGGCTGACCGTCAGTTCTCTGGTGTCTTCACATGCCCAAGTTCATGCTTTTGGTGTGGTAAAAGTTGATGCTCAAGGCCCAAATCGATTGGCCTTGACGAGGATGAAGGCCTTACCCCTTGGCGGAGCACGCGGTTGATGGCCTGTAGTTGGCACAAAACCACAAAGGAAGAAGCTGAAACAGCGCGCAAAAAACGTGCGGGAAAGTGCTGTGTCATTGAATCATGTGCTGCCTGCATGTCCCAAGGGCTTTCCGACCCCACAACATCAAGATAAACTTTGAACCATGTCTGCGGCGCAGCTGTGCTTGAGAACTCTTGAGAATTGCATATCTCATATCTTTGACAATCTGCATCTATCAAATGCCTTTGCAGAACTCTTCCAGCTCAGCATGTCCAGTGTCATGACACTTTTCTTCCGATCTCTTAGCCAATTCCAGGAATCTTCCGGAAGTCCTGTACTTCTACCGACTGTCAGATCGCCGTCGTGGGGGGCCCCCACGCCCACGACCTCGCGGTCAGAGGAGGTGCTCTTCTCCGACCGAACATCGATTTGCCGAAGCACCGGACCAGCGCAGTCACAACGATTGGAGAAAGACATTGAAACCACAAATGTACGATAAGAATGACATAAGAATGACATGGTTTCACATGCACTTTGAAACCAAACAAGGAAGTGTGTAGACCCAAAAAAACCTCGATGACATCTTGAAAGTGCTCGTCTGTCTACCTGACAGAGCGCCCTTGAAAAAGAATCGAATTCTCGCCAGTTTCAGACCCCCCTCTCCATCTTCCATCCCAAAAAAGAACACAGCCCGTTCTTGATCCCGAAAGCTCCCAAGTGGCTATCATCCCTGCGCGGTGGAGGGGATCTCCGACGGCTGTCCGATCGCCTGGCGGATGCCACGCGCGGAGTCGGAACCGACGGTGTCTGTCGAAGGGTCCCGGACATCACGGTGTCTGCGTCTAAATCAGAAGCTCCATGCGGATCATGCGGATCATCAGCCTATATTGAACGAATGAAATCAATATACGGAAACCGAACTGAGGGGAATTTCGTGGACAGGGGGGGCTGGGGAATCATGCTCGGCCGATTGGAACTGTGCTCACTCTCCGACTTCAAAAAGCTTGACTGAGGACATCGCAGTAACCCACCCACTGCAGGGGATATTGCAGAACAGCACGCCGCAAATGTTTTGGCACAAGCAGCCACTCTGCAGGGTCATCGATTTCACAATGAGCCCCTCAAGAACTAATTCGATCATCTCTGCTCACTGAAGCAGAGCATAGGGATCTCCACTCTTGAGCACTTTAGGCCCAGGTGCTTTCCCTAAGACTTTACGAGGCAGTGTAGTTGGCATCTTCACAAGCAGTTCGTCGACTTCCACCGCCCGTGGCACATTCGCACTTGCCTTCCCCGGAGCTGCCCTTCCAGTCCTGCGCTGGTTGACGACGGCGGACCGCCTCTTCATTTGACCACCCTTAGCCTAGGACCACATTCTCTGGCCGGCCTCTTCTCAAACAGGTCAAGCTTCCATGAAGCCCTCACTTACAGGTGAAACATGGTGAAACTGAATAGCCTTTGTCTCTTGAGTGCGATACGCATGTGGTTGCTGGTAGACTAAGCACCTCGGCACTCTTGCCAGAAATGGGTGTGCCAAACCAGATTCTTCTAGCAACGGCTCTGACCCAAACACAGACCATGGATGAAATAGCCTGTACCCATCTAAACACCGATTCTATGTGGAAAGGATTGCCTAAAAGGTGTATGAATCCAAACCTTGAACCAACTCTTCGCGTACAACATGCCCGCCTCCAACTCTCCATTCGTTTCAGCCAGCCCTTCGGCGGTCACACACGCGGTGCGACATGAGGCCGCGTCAGTCACAGCCTTGGCTGGGACAAGTCCATGACAGAATCATTCGCTATCAGCCTAGTACAGTAGTCTTGTAGAGAAAAGACAACGTGGCATTTGGTGACACCAGGTTAGATGTGCTTTTCAAAAAAAGGGATGCCTCCAAAAGCACAAGTCTTCGAATTCTTGCTACATTCTCCATCCATTCAAGCTTGCAGCACTTAAAGTGCACAACCCGAACCAACATCATGTCCTTGGACGAGGTGCTCCAACGCCATTCCTTGGAGCAGGGAGATAGATGCCAGAAGATACTTCCAGGATGATCTAGGTGCCCTCCAGAATGGTTTCACATCTCGAGTCCCGAGAGGAGTTTCATTCACCAACAGTCAACAGTCTACATAGAGACCCTCAACTAGACAACATGTATTGGAAACCGTGCCACTATCGATTTGGGGACCGCTACATACATTAAGTCGTTCTTTGTGATTTGACGTGACAGAGCTTTGCACACTGAACGAGCTTTAGGGAGTGGAAGAAGTTTTGGAAAGGAGAAGCGCTTCTCCTCAAACCTGCCGACTCGGTGTCTGTGTGCTTTTCGGTCTTCTATGATGATCCGACACGCGAGGAATCCAGAACTTGTGGGGCCATACTAAGAGCAGGCCTGCCAAGGTCTTCGTTTCGCAGACAGTTTCCTTTCCTAAATAGACATGGTTAGCATGCATGGTTGATGTTTGGAGCCGGCTTTCATAAAATTGGTTCGTTCATACATGTGGTAGTCACTTTGTCGTTCCCCACAGTGTGTGTGTGTGAGAGAGAGAGGGTGTGGGTGGCGTATTGCTGTTGTGACTGACAGCCTTAGTCTTGGCCTGTGAATGTGATCCTGACCTCAACATCGCCAAGGCTCTTGCTGAAGGTGGAGCAGTCAGGATGAGTAACTCCACTCACCCCACCTTCATCATCATCACCGCAGCCCTGCAGGGCACCACCCATGAACGCCACAGCACAAACCAAGGCAGCCCAGCGCATCATGATGAGATGACCACGGAATATCGCGGAGAGCAGTTTGAACCAGAAAGAAAGGCTGCATGGTGGACTCAATCATGCAACAATTTCCACCTGTTGCCAACCACATTGCAATTTCAAATGATTAAGACCTGCCCGGTAAAGTGCAATGATCATCAATCATTCTATCTATCCTTTCTTGTCGTGCTGCTGTTGGAGGCGCATCTGTTTCAGTTGGATTTCCAAGATTCTACAATCTACTGTGTCATGAAGGTGGTTAAAATCAAATTAAAAGCGCTTTTGCAAGGTGGATTGAGAAGTTTTGTCAATCTGAACTCACAGCTTCCCACGAGTTCTGAGTTTGGGGACTTGGCGCGCTGCGTTTTGGAGCAAGCAGCCACTGTGTGCGTGTGGGGGTCACCGATTTCACAAGTAGCCCCTCAGGAACGAATTGGATCATCTCTGCTCTAGGCCAAGGACACTGAAGCAAAGCATAGGGATCTCATGGGATCTCCACCCTGTCGGGTTTGTTTCTTTCCGAAGCAAAGGCCCTTGCTGAAAGTGGAGCAATGGGGATGACTGACTCCATCAACACCATCCTCATCGCCGCTGCACAAAGCTGCCCACCGCATGAACGGGCGCGAGGCGTCCCGGTGCAAATGGAAGCGTTCAGCGTTCAGCATGTTGGAACTGAGGCACGACTTGGTGCATCCCGACCGGCCGGCGCATGTGTTAGGAAAAAAACACTACAATTCACAAAAAGCTGTGAGAACTAGAGGGTCACGTCCGTTTTTCTCCCCACTTCCCCCGGCCTTCGTTTGGGAGGGCTGCGACTCGGAGACCTGTGCACCAGGCACACCAAGAGAGGGTCCAGTATGGAGGGCACCCCTAGCGACACATTGTTTGACGAAGGATCAACGATCACGGAGGAACATAAAACAAAGCAAACAAAATATCTGGCAAAAAATCAACAAAACATCTGATCTGTCTAAAGGTTTTTTGCTTCACACAAGCAAATCTACAGTCTGACAAGGTTCTTTACTTGCGTTAAGTCCCACAAGGGCTCTTTTGCAGATTTCCCTTCTGCTGGTTCCAGTTCCATCATCAGCGCGCCCGTCTGATTGCACCCCCGACCCTCAATTGCAACACTCACACACACTCGAGATGTTGTGTACTGAAATTGAAAGCCACTTGCCCTGAAGAAGCCTACGTGAAAAACTGCCTAAGTAACCAGCAAGTTGTAAGTGGGTCTAACTACCTCCACGGTGCCACAACTGCTCAAGTGTGAGAGGACTCAACTCAAAGTCATGAAGTCAAGAACTCTCAAGTTCCAGGGCTTCCGAAGGTGCAAAACGACTCCGAAAAGCGACGAGCGAGCGGCAAGCGCACGTCTGCAGACCTGTATCATCCTGCAACAGCCTGAGGACCTCTACGATTGGAGAGTGGTTAGAACATTCACAAACTGCAGGTACCGGAAGGTGATCAGCCTTCCTCTCCCATCCAGGACCGTAGCTTCGTTGCATACGATGGGTCATGGATGCCGTGTGCCCCTGCTGAGTTACACCAAAAGGCGACACACACCACACACATGCTTCAGTCTCCCTTCCCTTCCCTTCCCTTCCCTTCCTTCCCACGCTTTCCTGCCATTTTCTGTCCTGTCTAACCTTCTGCTGTCCTCAAGTTCATTCTCCTCTTCTTTCTTTCGTCCTGTCCATGCTTCTGTTTCTGGCCTCCGGCCGCGGCTCCGGCTCCTGGGTCGGTCTCGGTCGTCCTGGCAACGGGCGCGGAAAAGAAGGTCGCAGGTTGAGCGTTGCAGTGGAACGTGTCGTGTCTTCTTGGTGTTTTCAAGGCTGCAAGCCTGAAGTGGGTAGTTCTTGGCCCAAACACGAGACCAATCGACATTGTCTGCTATTCAATGCTATTCATATGTACTCCACTCAACTTTCAGGACTATATAGTAATATATATGTATATACCCTGCAGAAAAATGTTGCGGGTGCCGGGTGCCTCGTCTTTTAAAGGCATGACCTGCACTGCTTGCAGGTTGGAGGTGTTTGCATATGGTGTCAACTCACCGTTTGAAAAAGCACTTCAAAATCAACCAGGCTCAGGACCCCCACATTGATGGCCAAACGGCTTTTTCTTTGGCTCAAGGGCTCCTTCAAACAGGGAGCCAGCCCGAAGCTTCGGCATGACATGCGACGCTTCCGCACTCGGTGCTCTCCGGCTTCGGTGAATTCCATTGGTCACGTGTTTGCAAAGATGAGTGACCAACCAACTCAGGGTGAGGCTGGGTTGAACTAGGCTGGTATCTGTGCCCCGCCAAAGGCTGAGCTGGTCCGAAATTGGTGGGAGAAATGAGCAACTCTCGAAGCAGGATGCAAAAAGTTTTCCTTCTGGTTCATGTGAATCTGCAACCACTGTCCTCGATGTCGAACTTAATTCTTTGTTGGTTCCTTGGGAGCGTGTCAATGGGTGATCCACAGAGCTCCGTCTTCGAACTCATCGTCGCATATACTGGCAGTGAGACTCTATAATTTAAAGAAGAAACATCAACAACAAAATACATGTCATCCTCATCCTCATACTCATGCTACCGTACCCGTAGCCTTCCACCGAGCCGCTTGAGACCGAAGAGCTTGGCCGCGCTCCGCAGCTTGGGGTCCTCCAAGAGGTTTTTCTCGTGTCTTTCTGGGGGTTTAGAGGGGCAGTCCTAAAGATGCACTTGCAAAAGATTGGGTCTAAAATTTTCAGGGAACCCACATGGATTCAAGCTTGTTTTAGGTGTTTTTAGGTTTAGGCCACGAGGACCCTGGGTATTTAAGTGAGATAACGTGCAGCTTTGGTGAGTTCACAAATCCCCAATCAATCACAGACCACATTACTGCATTACTTTTCACTTGCATACGTTTGCCTCTCCCAAATACATGTACTGTCCAAATGTAAATCTCGTGTTTAAAGATTTGCAACAACCTTTCTAGCTGCAAGAATGAAAGCCACGTGCCTTGATGCTATCTGCATAGAGGAAGAGGTCACCAGAGCCACCACTGTCACCATCAACCTCCACAAAACCACCGCAATTCTTTCAAAGAGGGACATGCCCACAACGAAAACAGACCGTCAGCAACATGATTACATGGTTGGCCAATGTATAGAGACAGCTATACCCAACCATCCTGGAGTTTCATATTGACTTTCGGATCTTCCCATCTCCATTGTCCATCTTCATTCGAACTCTGATGGCGACTCATCCAAGCGAAGTACGAGTGAAGGCTTCCCAATAGATACACAATCGAATCCCCAGCACAATCTCTTGGATCTGAAACTTGAGAGAAACCTCCCGCAGCGGAAGAAACTCCCGCAACTGATGTGCGCAACTTATGAGTCTCCGGGAGATGGGCAAAGTTTTGTCAATGCACAGAATATCGGAAATGTTCAACGACCACGCAGAGGTTTTGATCCGCAGCCAATCAAGGCCGGAATCAAAGAAATGTTCTCCACTCTAGGGCACAACTTCCTTTGAAGCCACATGACTCCAACCAACAAGATGCCATGTTCGATCCGAGAATTCCCCAAAGGGAATATGTGGGGAATGCCTGGGCCCGGAGTCAGCTTGGGTTGTCTTATCATTATGTTTGATAAGGATTATACCGGCGGACTGGAAGATAGAATGCCTCTTTTTGTTCAAGATTTATCCATAGTAAGATAGAATGCCGTCCCCAAATGTTTTTTGGCCAACAGAAATGGACAGTTAGAATGCTGGGGTCTGGCCAGTTAGAATGCTGATCCAGGGTGTGCATGTTGAAAAATCTCGAAACTGCAAGGAAACACCAGGATTTCTTCGAAGATAGAATGCCGCCAAAGATAGCAAGAAAACACTTTGAATGCCACAGCTTTTACAGAATAGACAAACAAAAGGAAAGGACAAAGAAGAGGAAAAAGGAACAGGAAACAATTGGTAAAGAACAAGACATGGAAGCAGAAAGGAAACAAAAACACAGGAGAGGAAGCAGAAGAGGAAAGGGAAAGGAACAGGACACGGAAAAAGATAAAGGCACAAGGAATAGGAAAGGAAAGGCACAGAAAATGAGAGGACAAGGAAGAGGAACAAGGAAAAGGAAACAATGGCTAAGACCGGGACATGGCAGCAGAAAACAGAAGGAAGGAGAAAGGAACCAGACAAGGAAAAGAGGACAGGACACAGAATAAAGTGGAAAGGAAAAATTACAATGAGACAGGAAAAGAAAAGATGCAACACGAAAAGAAAAGAGTTCTGAATAGGAAAGGCAAAATGCGCAACAATGAAAAGGATCGGATGCTCTTAGGAGGAACAGGAAGCAAATAAAGGCAAAAGAAAGGAAAGAGGCAAGAGGAATGGAAAAAGGAAGAGGGAAGGCACATGGAACAATGAAAAGGATAGAATGTCCAATTGTCATGCAATTGCTTCTCCTCCCTCCCTTCCTTGTTGGAATTTTGGGGATCAAGACTGGCATTCTAACTGTCAGTCTGTGAGTGTGTTTGTCCATGCTAGATTTGCCAAACAGTAACAGCATATGTGCTCAGCCTTTGCATGCTGCAAACTGCAAACCTCCAGAATAGACAAACAAAAGTAAAGGACAAGAAAGAGGATCAAAGAACATGAAGACATGGTATAAAAATGCAAAAAAGAGAAAGGAAACAGAAAAAGGAGAAAAGGAAAGAACACAGGAAAAAGGGAATGACGAGAAAAGGGAACAGTTGAACAGGAGACAAACAAAGAATAGGAACGGAAAAGAGCAATGAAACAGGAAAAAGGCAAGAGGCGAAAGGAAAGGACAAGGAAGAGGAAGAGGAAAGGTAAATGTAACAATGAAAATAATAAGATGCTTCATTGTCCTGCCATGTGTGGGATCAAGACCAACATTCTAACTGTCAGTCTGTGAGTTGGAGGGTGTATGCATGCATAGATTTGGAAACAGCAAATGTGCCCAGCTTTTGCGATGCAAAACCTACAGGATAGACAAACAAAAGGAAAGGACAAGGAAGAGGAAACAGGAACAGGAACAAAGGTAGAAAAAGGTAAAAGGAAAGCACAAGGACGAGGAACAAGGAAAAAGGCAAAATTGCTGAGAATGGGACGTGGCAGCAGAACGGAGAAGGAGGGGGAAAGGAACAGAAAAGGGAACAGTTGAACAGGAAACAAACAGAGGAAAGGCACGTGGAAAAATGAAAAGGATAGAATGTCTTAATTTTCCTGTCATTGTTTCTCCTCCCTCCTTCCTTGTTGCAATTTTTGGGATCAAGACAGGCATTCTACCTGTCAGTCTGTGAGTGTGTGTATGTATGCAGACAACATACGTGCCCAGCCTTTGCACACTGCAAGCTGCAAACCTACAGAGTAGACAAGCAAAAGGACAGGACAAGGAGGAGGAAAAAGGAAGAGGAAACAACTGCAGAAAAAGGACATGGAAAGCACAAGGAAGAGGAACAGGAAAAGGACAAAATTGCTAAGAATGGGACATGGCAGCAGAAAGGAGAAGGAGGAGGAAAGGAAACAGAAGAGGTAAAAAGGAACGGACACAAAACAAAGGAGAAAGGAACAAAAAAAGGAACAGGAAAACAAACAACCACAAACATATGAAATGTCAAGAACAATGAGACAGGAAAAGGCAAGAGGCAAAAGGAAGGGAAAGAGGCAAGAGGAAAGGAACAGGGAAGAGGAAAGGCACATGGAACAATGAAAAGAATAGAATGTCCAAGTATCCTGCCATTGTTTCTCCTCCCCCTTCCTTGCTGCAATTCGTGGGAACAAGACAGGCATTCTAACTGTCAGTCTGTGAGTGTATGTATATGCATGCATAGATTTGAAAACAACATATGTGCCCAGCCTTTGCATGCTGCATACTGCAAACATACAGAATAGAGAAACAGAAGGACATGACAAGGAAGACGAAAAAGGAACAGGAAACAATGGTAGAAAAAGGCGAAAGGAAAGGATAAAGGAAGAGGGACAAAATTGCTGAGAACGGGACATGGTAGCAGAAAGGAGAAGGAATGGGAAAGGAAACAGTTAAGGAAACGAGGAAAGGAAACAGAAGAAAAGCGAAAGGCACAGAAAAGGGAACAGTTGAACAAGAAACAAACAAAAGCAAGAGAATAGGCGGCTGGATCAGGGCAGGAAATGGCATTTACACGCATAAATCCAGTACAAAGGACAGTGTTCAACAAACTTTGCTATCACTGGTTTATCTGTTTTAGGCCATATCAAAGACCCAAGTTCAAAAACCCTGTAAAAATGCAGGTTTCAGTTAGAATGCCCGCAAAACGCCATCCCCTATGAAAAGTTCAAAAATTGTCCATCCCCGGCGGTCCAGCATAGCATTCTGACTTCCGGTCCGTCGGTATATATTGGTCAAGTATATAGTGATCCCCAAAAAGATAGAAACGGCTTCCAACACAGTTTTAATAATGGGGATCTACGTATTAATCTATTTGGAGCTCTATATAATATATATATATATATAATTATACATACAGGTCTTCTTCTGGCTCAAGGCCGTTTTCAGCATCAAGCTCAGTGGCTATCAGCCACTTGAGCCAACATCAACGTCACGGACACCATAAGACAAAGGAGCACAAGGGCCTGTCCGAAGACGGTGAGGTGATCCAATGAGGAGACACTACCGAGTCTGCTCCAAATGTCAGCAGAGCTGGGTGTGGGAGGACCGCATCCAGGCCAACCCCAAGCTCCAATGCAATCAGTGCGGAGCCCATTGGCAGAAGACTTTGTTGCCTGATTTAAGGCAAAAGAGGCAAGTAGCTTGGGCACAATAAAACTTCAATGGACAAGGTCAACAGTGGCCAAAGAAGTCCTACAAGGACGCCCTCTTGGAACCCCCGCCGGGACTCTCAGGCGGGCAGAGGAAAAGGAAGACAAAAAAGAACAAGACTGATGACATGCACAAGGCCTTGAAGGAACACTGGGATAGCCTACCAGAGGCTTTCAGGAACCAGTGCACCGCCTTAGGTGTGCAGGTGGCTGACCCTCCAGTGGCACCGGATCTGCCTTCACTCATCAAAGAGCATCTACAAAGCCTTCCAGCCGACCTCAAAGAGGCTGTTGTGAAGATTGTGGAGCCGGAGAAGCCGGAGCCGACATTGGCTTCGAAGGTCAAGCAAGCAGTTGGCACTTTGAAGCAGCTTTCAGAGAAGAAGGCATCCCTCCAATCAAAAGCGGATGCGGTAAAGCAGCAGTACACCCAATTGCTGCAGGACCTCAAAGAGCTGCAAGGGAAGATTGAAGTTGCGCAAAAAGAGCTGCAAACTACGACCCAACAATACAACCAGCAGCTGGAGCAAGAGAAACAAGCTGATGCTGACGAAACGGCCGAAGAACTATCTCCTGAGGCGCTGATCACTGCAATGGCCAGTGTAGGACTGCAGGCCACCTCGGCCCAGGTCAAGGACTTAGCGTCCAAGCTCATTGAGAGCGCCGCAAAAAGGAGAAAGTGTGGGTAACCCTGAAACAGACAGGGTGAGCATGGGGTTCTCCACAACCTTTTTGAAGGACTTCCACGTGGGGTGCTGTGAAGTTTTTGAGACTGGTTGTGAGGTTTTTGGCTCAGGCCAGGAAGGGGGCGAAGACTCCGTGCCTGAGATGGGGACGCCTGAGGTTTTTGCCTCAGGAGAAGAGCCAGAACGTCTCCATGCTCGACAGTGAGGGAGAAGACCAAGTTCATGAAGAAGTCCAAGGACCACTGAGTCCGCTGGACTACGTGGTTCAGAATCTGCAGTGTCGCCTGGGAAATCCTCGAAACAGGTGTTTTGCAAATTCTGCTTTCCGTCTTTGGGCCTGGGCGGGAAGTTTCATGGAGGGCCCACGTCTATGGAGCAGAACGGCTTCAGCGGTGAAAGAAGCACTGCTCAGTGATGATGTGGTGCAGTTGACAACACTCGCTGGGTTGCAACCTCTTTGGACAAAATTCGATGACTCACAACAAAATGATGCTTCGCATTTCTTGCAAGAGTTGGTTGATTTGGCGGAATCCTCTTTGGTCATTCAGAGCTACCACCAAGTCGACT